TGGGGGTCATTTCTGCCCCTCAGGATGGGGCAGGGGGCACTGGCTCAGCCCTGAAAGGAGCTTGCTTGGCTCGTTAGCAACTGAGCTGTGGGGAAATGCAGCCAGACTGCTGGCTCCAGCTGTGGGACAGGGCAGGTCACAAAGGTACAGGGCAAATGTATTTGCTATGAGCAGAACTGTGCCAGTTTCTATCCTGTTTGGATAAATGGGTGAACATCTGCTTTTGCTGTGCAGAGCCACCACCACGGGTGTATTTTGTCATTGTGGAGTATCAGTCTCACATGTCACTACTCTTGTGTCCTCTATGAAGCTGAGGAGCTGCCTGTAACTCCCTCCTTTTCCCCCTCTTGCTGGCAGGCTGTCCAGGGGACCGGACTGGCCTTCATAGTCTATTCTGAAGCAATCAAAAACATGGAGGTGCCCCAGCTGTACTCCGTGCTCTACTTTGCCATGCTGCTGATGCTGGGGATCGGCAGCATGCTGGGCAACACCGCCGCCATCCTCACACCGCTGACTGACAGCAAGGCCATCGCTGCCCGCTTCCCCAAGGAGGTGATCTCAGGTGAGCACCTGCCACGAGCAGCAGAGCCCATGCAGGGAGAGAGCACGTGTGTGCAAAAGCTTTGGTGCCCCACAACCATTCAGGGGGTCCTCTTTGATCTCAGGTGGAGCAGAGAATATCAAATACAATTCCAGAAGGTTTTTGCCTGCCCTTGGGAAATCCTACCCAAGCTGTAGAGCACCTTCCCCTGGGAGCTGTATATTGGCAGGCTTCCCAACACACTCCCAACTCCTTCAGACTCATGTCTACCTCCTAGTGAAACTCAAAGGGCCAGTAAACACCTCCAGTGAGTGGCTCTTCAGTCCCATCACTGGTATCCCAATGGCAAACCACTTGAGTCTTTGGGCAAAAGTGATACGCACTTGCTTTCAGGCAGCTGTCCCACCTTAAAACCTGGTTTAGCTGGATGCCCAGCACTGACAGCAGATGCTGCACATGCCCCAAACAAGCCTATAATCAAGAGTCAATCAACTCGACCCTGCTGGGATGATGTGCTGTGACTGTGCAAGTCTAAGGAGCAGCAGTTTAAAGATGCACTGGCATAGTCTCACACACACAGAGAGAGACAGGTCTTTTCCAAATGGCAAAAATGTCTTTCTCCTCTAAGAAAGCTGCTCCCTGACAGAAATCCCACCAGCATTTTAGTGACAAGAAGTATGACATTTTCCTACCCACAATAAGATTTCCAGGTCTAACAGCAGGGTCCCTCTTTTATCCATGCAGGTGCTGTGTGCTTCATTAACTGTGTGATTGGCCTCATCTTCACCATGGAGGCTGGAAATTACTGGTTTGACATATTCAACGACTATGCAGCCACCCTCTCGCTGCTGCTCATCGTGCTGGTAGAGACCATTGCTGTGTGCTACATCTATGGGATAAGAAGGTAGAAGTTTGAACCCTCCTTACTTCAGAGCTGGGGTGTGACCACTGGCCAAGACACACAGGGCCAAGAACAAAAATATCACCTTGGGATAAATTTTCCTCCTACTCTGTGGGATCAGTGAGGCAAGGGGGAGTCTCTCTTGCCCTTCCAGGGCCTTGGGAAAGGGCTGGGGCCAGGCTGGGCTGCCACCTTCTCTGTGGGCATGAGCAGTACACACTGCTCCCTGGTCATCTTCTCTTTGGTTTCAAGAGCACCTTCTGCCAAAATGCTGCTTCTCCTTTCCCAGCAATTTAGTGTGAGCACAGCAGTGCTGCCAAGTCTGGCCAGTCACCTTGCCCATTGCTGCTCTCCCAAGTCATCCCTTGAGGGTAAAGGCACCAGGAAAGGTTTTTAGGCACCAGAGGTGTTTGTGCTCAGGGCATCTAAAGGAAGAGGCTTCAGTATTGCTTTGTTAGTCTGCAAGTACAACACTTGTACAGGCACCTTGACTGGCATTAGGGCCTTGATGGATTCAAGGCCTTCAAGTCAGATCCAGGTTTCCTGCCTGATTTTAGGTGTCACCTCTAAAATTAGTACTTCCTCAAAGACAGTCAAATAACAGCAGTGAGAACAGCTCAACCACCCCAAAACAAGCGGTGTTTTCAGTCAAATAACAGCAGTGAGAACAGCTCAACTACCCCAAAACAAAGCTCCACTTTACTTCAGCAGTATTGCTTACACCAGCGGTCTGAACTTGTGCCCCAGGCAGAATTTTGTTGGGACTTTCCCTCTGTACCCATGCCTAGCTACTCTTACCTAGACTGAGATCCTCTTAGAAGCCCTGCTATCTTTTTTTTTTATTGTGCCCTCAGTGTATCACCCTGGTGATCCGGTTCTTCAGACAGTACCTCCAAGCTCATTACTCCTATGGTCAACTATACTCTCTGTTCCCATATATTTATCTCTATAGGTGGTTTTGAAATAACTCGGATCATGGTATCGATTGAACAAATACAGCTATTTTCAAAAACGTGATTTATTTTTTTTTTTAAACACAGATTTGAGAAAGATCTTTACACCATGATTGGACGCAAGCCAAACTGGTATTGGAAAATTATGTGGGCTTTTGTTAGTCCTTTGCTAATTATAAGCCTATTTATATTTTACATCACCGACTATATCCTCACAGGAACACTGCAATACCAAGCATGGGATGCCACACAGGTAAGATAGGTCTGGTTTGGGGGTTTTCTTTGTTGTTTGTTTTGTTTTTTTTTAATTCCTCCAATGACACAGAATTCCTTCCTAACTACAGCATTCCACAGAACTGCCTTACAGCTGAAATCAGGGCACCTCCCTGATTTTGTGGCAATGGAAAAAACCTGACCTAGTGACAATGTCATGGTTCTGTAAAATGGGAGACACTTCCTACTACAATTCTTAATAGATCCCTTCAAACAGTAACATTTTATTCCCATTGATTGAAGACCCACATATTACCTTAAAAATACTCTTTGAACAGAAAAAATTATTTCAAAGTGTAGCATTTTGAACAAATGTAGTGATATTTTTAACGGAACTGAGCTGCTGCTGGAATAGTTTTCAGAAACCACTCTGGTTTGCTTTAATTTCCATATACACTTTTCTTCGTGGCCCAAAGGCTTTTATATGTATGTTGAACCACTGTGTATTTATCACAGAGGAATTACTACTGGGTAAGTAATCCCTGCTTTCACAACATTGTGTTGTGTTGTGTTCCTAGCATGCAGCAATGAATGATGCCTGTTGTTTTCATGTCTTTGCTGATTTGGGACCCAGTTGGGAGCCTGGCCTGTTGACAGGGTGTCAGCACGAGCCCACAGGCTCCAGGGGAGGAACAGCAGAGACCTGACAGAGGTCAGGGCTGAGCCATCTCATTAAGAAATATTAATCAAGCCAAAATGTGCTCTTTACCAAAGCTTGCACAAGATTTCCCCAGTATTTTTGTCAGCAGCTCAGTCAATTTTAAGCTTGAATGGTTGGACAAAGCAAAACACAGGCTGCTGCAGCCTGCAAGTGCTTCTCAGATGTTCTTTGCTCCAGGCCTGGGGCACTGAAAACCACAGATCCCCCAAATCCAACCCCTTCTTCTCTCCCTTGCAGGGGCAGCTGGTGACAAAGGATTACCCAAGTTATGCCCTTGCAGTGATTGGGCTGCTGGTGGCAGCATCCACCCTGTGCATCCCCCTGGGGGCTCTAATAACTTTTATAAGGAAGAGACTGAAGAGGGAAAGCGTTTCAACAGTTGCATGAACACCAACAGCTGGATTTGGGAAGACCTTCCCCCCATCATCAGTGAGCGGGCACTTCTGGAAGACAGCAGCAACCATTACTTGTAGCAGCTACTTTATAGAGTTGAGAATCATGGGTGCTATATTGACCAAAAAGTGCTCTTAGGAGGTTCCACAATGGTTTGGGAAGAAAAAAAAAAGCTCTCCTGTAACAAGCTGGACTTTAATATGGCCTCTCTAAGAGGGGAAAAGCAGAAGAGAGCTCATACAATGCTAGATAGCACAAATTAACCAGTGCATCAACCCATTACACAACATTAGGTGCCTCTTTTCCACTCTGCTGTAGCACTGCCTATATGGAAACATGACCAACCAACTCAGCAGGTTCCTGCACCAAAGTACCAGCAAATACCCTCACCCTTCAAGAAGGCCACGCTCAAGCATGCACGTTATTTGAAATGACATCTGTATTTCATCAACAGATCAAGCTGTTCAAGTCCTGCAATGTGATCATCCCTTTCCTACAAGGGAAAAGTCATCAGGATGGTGTTCCGAGATAAACATGGCCTGCAAAGCAGAGCTGCAGGAGTTCTCTCATCTCCAGAAGTGAACTTCCAATTCCTGTACTTTGTATTTTCTAGGGATGCACTTTAAGTACACTAAAATAAATCTGTGATAAAGATGCTTCACAGGCCCCACCCAAAAGGACAACATAGAATTGGCCTCAACAAAGTTTGTATCCACATATACTTTAATGGTGAGATGTAACAATCCAGCAGTTCCACAGAACTGGTTAATTTCCCTATGTGAAGGCTGTATAAAGCAAGAAACATGTTTAAATTCTAAGCTTCATGTAATAGAGAACAGTAAAATTGTATCTATGAATTTTTAAGTGGTCTGCAGAATGGCATTAGGGACACAGGCATGGGAGGTGGGTTTTTTATATAGTGTCTTAACTATGTAACCATTAGAAGCTGGCAAGTGCCTTGTAAAAGAGGGAATAATTTCAAGCAAACATAGTTAAACACACAAACACAAGCTTCTCACTCCAGAGCAAGAAGCAAGAGGGTAACTGTACAGCTTCTGGGGGGATGACACCTTGAAGATCACAACCAACACCAACAAGACATGTTAAGTCTGCAACAGCCTCTAGAATCAGGACACACCTCCCTCCCCAGACTTCGCTAACAAAGGAAAGACAAAGTTTTCACATTTCTGTTTATTAAAAATGGATACCATAAACAAGACCTGTACAAAAAAATATCCAAAATTGCCCAGAATTTGGTAGCAGGTGCGTGGTAAGAAGTTACCGTCTTGGGCCCCCTCTTCCTCTTCCACGACCTCGGCCTCTCCCACGGCCTCTGCCACGGCCTCTTCCAGCAACTTAGCAGATGAAACAAAAAGGATAAATCAAGTGAGACCCAGGGAATATTTTCATTTTGATTAGAGCATTCTGCATCAAGCATAAACAACACAATGTCTCATTGCAGGGAAGCAGTAAGTCACAATACTAAGTCTGTTAATGCTCAGGAAGTTTCAGACAGCGTTTCCACCTTTTCTTTGGGTTTTTCAGTACACAACTTCCACAGACCGGCACCTGTCTTCAGCTTCACTGCAGCAGACAAGGGGATATAGCACCACAGCTGCCTGCTTCCAAATGCTCTGTCTCACAAGAGAACTAGGATCCCTTTTTTTTTTTTTTTTTTTTAATAAAAATCTACTTTTTCAGGCATCAGGAAAAGCATATGTACGACAAAAGTATTTTGTTACTACACATTACAGTGAAAAAGGGTTTGTTAGGGTTTTTTTGCCATAGCTGTCACTGGGGTTTATCAAGTACACTGCTAAAGGGAAATGCCAGTTTTAATGGGCTGTGAGATTCCCAAACTCAGCCTCTCTCAGTCACCATGTGAGAAGGCAAAATCGTGAAAGGATCCCACCACCAAACTGCTCCTGATGTTTTTTCAATGACTCCTCTGCCAATTCCAGACATGATTTTTAGGCCAACGTCTTGAGCTGTGCATGCCTACTTTTAAATACTGCTACTTAATGGTAAAGGGAGAACAGAATCACAGAGTAATTCAGGCTGCAAGAAACTGCTGGAGGTCTTATGATCCATATGGCGGTAACATGTCATTTCACCCCCTTTTCCTAGAGAAACACGACCTGTCCCATCATATTGCAAGGCCACCCTATAAACTTTTGAAATTACTGGTTAATTGCAAGCAGGTTTATCAGTGTAAGGCTTAAAAAGATAGGAGGAAACATAAAATTCTGTGGAAGTGGGTGGCAGGGCAGGAGACACACAGTAGCATCTACATGCAAGCAGCAAGCTGTATTACCCTGTTCCAGCTGACAGTACCTAAGTTAGAAATGCAGCAAAGAGACAAAGCAGAGGCACAGGAGAAGTTTGTGAGAAAACAAAATGTCACTTGTTTTGCTGACAATAGTTTGACTTTGTAAAACACAGAGAAGCATCAACCCCTGACTCATGCGATCAGCAGCAGGTCCTGCTCACATGTGCCCCTCACACCTCAGCCAGCATCCTGCCTTCCACTGACAATTCAATTTCCCAAGAACAGACCACCTTACATGGTTCTGAAGCCCAAGGGCATTTACAGACTAAGGCAAGCAGCGGATTCAAGAGCTTCAGTACAGGGAAGATTGCAGGAGTGTCAAACTGAGGTAAACAGCACATCACGCATCCTTTCTTCAAAGTTAAAAAGAAATAGTGATGTTCTTGTTCACATCACATTTTCAGTTTCAAAAATAATCTAACCATACTCCAATTTCTCCACATGGTCAGATTATTTTTGATGGACATGAAGAGCAAAATACTTTCAGGAGCTTTATCCTTATTCTGTATCAAGACAGCAGCCATAACTCTTGTGCTTTGTGATGCACACACCTGCGGGTTCCTTACACCATTTCAGTAAGGTAAGCACACCAATTCATAGCACAAACATGAACCAAAGACTGCAGAGCCAAATACTTGAAACACTAATTACAGGAGAAATGGTATGACATTCTTTTAGAGCACAATTAGCTTTCCCTTAAAACTGATTATTTTAAAAATGCTCCAATTAGCCACTGGGCAGAATATATACTGCTGGAAGACAACCTACAGATCTTCTGGGGCTTACTGGATATTAATCTCTATAGTGCAGATTAAAACTGAATTACTCTCTAAGCTGTTAGGCTTCTAAGGAAGAGGTTTTTGTTCAACAGTCTTTTGAAAAAAAAATAGTTCCAGGAAGAGCAAAGAGTGGGACACTACCAGGAGCCAAAGCTAGCAATCTGCTCATCAAAATACAGCCTGGACTCCCTCAGATTCTCAAGTCTCTCAAATTCTGTTCTCCAACAGATTACTTTTATACAAAATCCACGGAGATTTTAGTGAAACATTCCGTACTGTTCAAAAGAGGCTGTTTTGTGTTTTACTAGGCTATGTGAAGTTCCCCACTCAAACTGGGGACGCACATTTGGAGAACAGGAAATGTAAATCTCTGGTACCAGTCAATGTTGAGACAGTAACAGGTTAAGATCTACTCAAGCTCAAAAACCTTCAGATTTTGAAAAGGAGATGTATGAAAAGTCATGTACATGGAAGAAAGCTCTAGAGATGCTAAGAAGGTGAGCAAGGCAGACTTACCAGTTCAATATCAAACCCTCAAAACCAAAATAACTAGCTGCCAAAGGCAGACATTAAGACACTCAAATCATGTCTTCAGATTCAGGGCACAGAAAGGCAGAACACCCACAGACCAAGAAAGCACAAACTAACCTGCTTCTCTTTTCTTCGATTTGACTTTTGGTTCCACATCCACTAGCAAAGTATCCAGAGGCAAACTGTCTGGCAGAATGAAGTACCGGATGTTATTCCCTCGAATACTGAGCGTCTCCAGCTGCACGGGTTCTCTGTTCTTCAGCGTCATTTTCACTGCTTTGAGATGTGTGTTCATACTGACATCCACTCCTGAAACACAAGCCTCATGTCAGGGCTGAATGCCTCCAAAATGGTGTTCAGCCATTGTTGGCTGTTTTCAAGCATGCACAAATTTTGAGATTTATCCTGTTCAATAATACCTGCCTCTGCCATTTATTAAGCCTCTAACTGAAGAAAACTACATGCCTTTTTCCCCTCTTGGATTTAACTGATTGTTAGAGATCTTTATCTAGGTTTTAGCAACAACTGCAGGAATTCTGAAAAGGTTAAAACAATTCCTTGGAATAACAAACTGCTGCTTTTTACAGAAGTCCAATACGAGTCCTTTGACTTTTAAGAAGAAGCAAACCAAACCTTTGGGGCATAAAAATGAGTGCATCATTTTCTCTGTCAACCTTAGAAGGTGTCCAACTGGCAAAGCATTTATAATCTAAAGCATTTATAATCTGATAAAATACATCTAATAATAGTGTGGTTATCTTCTATGAAAGTACATAAAATATACTGGTGGAAGGAACAATCACTGTGGTTACACACTCCATGAGCAGCCCTTATGTTAGTGCTGTATGGAGTCAGTACTGTGCCCACTAGAAAAAACCCTTACTTGAACGTAAGTATTCAATAACAGCCCAGAAAAGCATCAGAAAGCACCCTATCTTACTTTCTATCTTGCACGGGATTTGGTCTCAAACTATGAAGATCAAAACGAGTACTTTTTCAGATAAAAAATTCAGGCAAAAGATAGAAACTGTACTTAACAAACACCTGCTGATTCAGGGCACCCACAAGAGCAAAATCCTTTGTGTTCAAACTTGTGTACAAACAACCCTTTGTGGCAAAAATAATTATTGTCTGATATCACAAACACTGAAAGGCAGACTGTAAGATGTCTTACCAAGGTGAAGAGCATAAGTGAGCAGCAGGCCAGAACCAGAAGAATGACTGTAGTTATTCCATGTATTTTCCTGTCCTCTCTCTCCTTCTGCCTAGATTTTACACAGCTCAGCTCCCCAGCACCTGACCTGCTCCCTTGGTTTATGCAACACACGCATCACATGAAACCCATCTCTTCAGCCTGCCTGCTCTGGCCCACCCACCTCCTGGGAGGAGGAGATGGCACCATTTGTTAACAGCACAGCAATTACAGACACACCAGTGTAAGGGGAAGATTAAAGCTTTAGAAATACAGATTGCATTAAAAGTTTTTACAGATTCTTAGCAGAAAATCCGAGAGCCTTTGCCCAACAATTAAGCCTGCAAAAGCACCAAGGTCAGGAGACGAGCAGTTCATTTGCTTCCTCCCTAGCTGGGTTCAACAGAGCATGCTGCAATCAGGTACCAGGGTGGTGCATTCAGGCCTAATCAAAGCTGATAAATCCAGCTACAAAACGATGCCAAACCTCAGCAGATTGTCAATGGCCAAAAAAGCACTCAAGCAATCACCTGGAATATAACTCTGCCAACTTTGAGTTATCTTTTTTATTACCAGTGTCTGGGCAGAAGAGCTTCTAAAAGTAGCCTGGGGTGAGTGAAGGAGAGGAGATAAGGCATGATCATCAACTTAACTGTAATGATTTCCTTTAAATACGAGGTGCCCAACCTACATCCCTGACTGTCTCTGAAGTAATGCCAACATCAATGTTCTCAGACCAATATCCCTCATTAATATTGCTAAAGCAACAAAACCGCCCACACATTTTTCAGTAAGAACCACCCAGTGAAAAATCAAAGACTTTTTCTGCAACTCAGTGATACAAAGAAGCACCAGCTAGACAACAGCACCCTCAAACCTGTGTTAGAGAAGAGGCCTTTGGCACCAGCAGGACTGTTTTTGCCCTGCATCCCCCATCAAGCTTCTTCTTTTCAAGCTAGTTTCATGAAATCAATACAAGTGTATGCAAAGATGCATTTCCATGTAAGATCACCCTAACCAGAGCTAACACATGCTCAACAGAATTAATTTTTAGATTAAAATTACCTACACAAAGTTCAAACTGATTCAAGACTACAGCAACACTTAACATTTGCCATCTACCTGCACTAGCACTAAAAAAAAGTTCCCCCTCTTCTGGTGAATCAGCTGTAATGATTTTATCCAACTACAGCTTATTAAAATTTCAAGAGGTGAAAAAGTCCGATGTAGTGAGACATCTTATAAAAACTTAGCTGTATAAAAACTACCCCACCAGCACTACTGTGCTGCTAACACTCCAAGATAACACCATGCTTCCAGCACCTTTGTCAACGGTTTGGAAAAGTTTATTCTTCATCCCCCAGGCTGCCTGTCAGCAAAGGCTGCAGCGAGGCCCAGAGGCTCCCAGGATGACAGCGAATTTACTGCCTCCCAACAGCTTCTGCAAACGGCCTGGCTCTCCTACAACCAACACAACTTAAGCCTGCACATCGAGATGTGAATTAGTAAAAACATCTCCTGCGTCCTGCAGAGAAGGTCGCCAGGAGGGCGCGCACAGCCCCGACAGACCCAGCCCGGCAGGACGGTGAGGGGCGGTGCTTTGCCGCGGTCCCGCCGCCACTGTGGTAGTTCCGTGCACCTGCG